ATCCCCCGCCAATGGGCCAATTTATTACGGCAGGCCTAACAATGGTGGCTATCCTTACGCGACCGCTCCGCCTCCGATTAATAGCGCTTAAAGGTGAGCCACATGTCGAGACGAACCAAAAGGAGAAAGGGTGAAGGCGACATCACTTGTTTAAGGTTCTTGGCTTGAAAACAAGCTACTCGAAAGTCTGTATGGATATGGCGCACAACGTAGAACCAAACGAAATAGTCCAGCAGGACTAGCCAATACAGCAATAGAGAAGTGTAGTTTCTGAAGCTATACGATGCTTTTGCGTTGCTCCAAAAATGGGGAAGCTTACAAAAAAGTAGACGTCTACAATGAAATTATTAATAGAGCAGTATGCAAGCGCTTATGGTTTATCGGGCGACAACGCTTCTTTGCTTTCTTCATGCTCGCTGTCATCTCCTCTTAGTTTCCCGAACAAGTGAGGTCTGCTCGAACAGGTTCACAGACGGTGCATTAAATTTTTAATTGTACCAGGCAACAACGTTTGGATTTCACTGTGTTTTACAAAGCAATGCTAGAAAAAACTAATTAAAAGCACTCAGCTTTTTTTATTCCTTTGAGCTCCATTGCAGCCCAACAGAGTTGTTTAAGCAAGATTAGCCCTGACTACTCCTATAGAAGTAAAATGGAGAACTAGGATGCTATGCTATGGCTGGGAGGACTGCAGGAAGAGGTGGACACTTGATTAACAGTGCGGCTTGGTAGTCCACATAATGCACAACCTCAATTTATCAAATTAAATGAAATAAAGGATGCCAAAATTGGCTAGTTTCATGCTAATGGGTCTCCGCCGACGGATTTGCCTTTGCAGGAAATCTCGTATGCAGTGCTGCTACTGGGCGGGGGGGGGGGGCTGGCGACCGACATAAACTCAAAAATAATTTTGAATTTATAATGATAATCTTCAGAGTTAGTGCCAAAAAAATCGATATTATCTAGCCTTCATCTTGAAGGGCAAGATGCATCGAAAATTAAAAAATTTGAGAGCAATTGCTGACATTCTTTATAAAATAATGATAATGAAGGCCCGAAAATGAGTATATGTAAGACGTGTGGATTGACATGCTTACAATGAAATAGGTGGTAGCTGTTGGTGTGTAGACTTACACCTACCGTATTAACCCTTTAACCCTTGTGAATATCTGTGAAGCGAAATAAATGTTCAAGTTTTTAAAGCAGCCATATTGGGTGACTTGTCCGGTTTGTGCCAGCTGATGGTCTTATCCTCTACGCATGAGTGGTCAACCTGCCACTTTGCTAGTCGCGTCGGCTGACTGAATGCCATACGGTGTCCGGATTTCCTACACTAAAAATGTTCGAATGTGGCACGCAATGCAGACGACCACATTGTTTGCCATTTGAGCTAGAACTCTATTCCTCGCACATCTCCCAACTGGTAATCAGTCCCTAACGCTGTCAGTCACGGGCCAAGAACGGGTCCGCACTCTTACAAGACGCTACCGTGCTTATGGTAGAGAATGCAAACCGGGTGGTAACGCAGGTGAGACGAACTTGGACTGGGAATCGAGGCTTTAGTTGCGCACCGAAAATCATCGCCGCAGACTGTGCTCATTTTCAAATTTGCTTAGCAGTAACTACTCCAGCGAGGTAGTTCTCCTTCAACGTTTTTCTTCAGTCCAAGTCAAGTCTTCTTTGTCCAGTTCCCCAGTCTCTTTGTCCAGGATGAACCTTACCAAGATTATTGCCCACCTTGCTGTGATTGCGACCGCAATGGGATCGCTCGCGGAAGCAGGTAACATCGCTCAACAGGCCCAGCAAAACATCTCGAACGCTGACACCTACACGAAGACGTCTGGAGCACCCTCGACCAAACCAGCCAATGTTGTCCTGACCCCATGCCCTGAAAAAACTACCCCCTCTACGACTCCGGCTGTCACTCCTGCACCGACGACACTTTCGCCCCAGCCTGTCACTCCCGCGCCTACTACAGCGAGAGATGTCGATCAAGGAAAGGGAGATAACGCCGACCAAAATAACTCGCACGATAAGGGATCGGCCAACAGCGGAGGGTCGGGTGGCGAATCTGGCGGCACAGACGGTGGTGTACAGTCCGGTGCCAACGGCAAAGGTAATGGCGGGATCTCCGGATCTGCTCAAGGCCACGGTTCTGCAAACGGTGGCGTTCGCAATGGTGCTAGCGGAGGCGTGTCTGGGGGCGTGGGCGGTGGTGCCAACGGCGGCATCGGAGGAGGCGTGTTTGGTGGAGCCCAAGGCGGTGTTGGCGGCGGAGTGAGCGGCGGCATCGGAGGCGGCATCGGAGGCGGCGTGTCTGGCGGTGCAAGCGGTGGCGTTCGCGGTGGTGCTAGGCGAGGCGTGTCTGGAGGCGTGGGCGGTGGTGCCAACGGCGGCATCGGAGGAGGCGTGTTTGGTGGAGCCCAAGGCGGTGTTGGCGGCGGAGTGAGCGGCGGCATCGGAGGCGGCATCGGCGGCGGAGGGTCTGGCGGTGCAAGCGGTGGCGTTCGCGGTGGTACTAGCGGCGGCGTGTCTGGGGGCGTGGGCGGTGGTGCCAACGGCGGCATCGGAGGAGGCGTGTCTGGTGGAGCCCAAGGCGGTGTTGGCGGCGGAGTGAGCGGCGGCATCGGCGGCCGCATCGGAGGCGGCGTGTCTGGCGGTGCAAGCGGTGGCGTTCGCGGTGGTGCTAGCGGAGGCGTGTCTGGGGGCGTGGGCGGTGGTGCCAACGGCGGCATCGGAGGAGGCGTGTTTGGTGGAGCCCAAGGCGGTGTTGGCGGCGGAGTGAGCGGCGGCATCGGAGGCGGCGTGTCTGGCGGTGCAAGCGGTGGCGTTCGCGGTGGTGCTAGCGGAGGCGTGTCTGGAGGCGTGTCTGGAGGCGTGGGCGGTGGTGCCAACGGCGGCATCGGAGGCGGCGTGTCTGGCGGTGCAAGCGGTGGCGTTCGCGGTGGTGCTAGCGGCGGCGTGTCTGGCGGTGCTGGTGCTCATGGTTGGACTTGGTGAAGAGTATAACATCGCATCCGTTGCTAGTGGATTTGGTGCCGAACACAACTAAGGCCATACTTTCGGATCAAGTTGTCTTCATCGGCTAGTACCGCCCGACGTAATGACCTAGCTGTGCTACTCAATTCTTGTTCATAAAGGAGATATTAAACGTAATACATCTTCAGTTAGTTGCGCTTAAAATCAATAGTATGTGTTTTTTCTTTTAGCGGGATACTACCGACTCCACGTTTGATTTGGCAGGTATCAGTCTGCTCCCAAGCTTGGACCTGATTAGATGCGGAGTTGATATTGTCCGGCACGCGTGACGTAGCGGACCCACTTGGTCGTCGGGTAAGAGCTTTTCTCAAATACTTTGAGGAACCGCACGTGTAGTCCTGACGACGTGAACATTGGCACCTGGAACTCAATCTGAATTGGTGGACGCGACCACAGCTTTTCCTTTGTGCCCTTCAGCATCTCCACTTCAGCGTCCAGCATCCGCTCCAATTTGCCTTGGAATTTGCGGATACGCCACACGATCGCATGGTTTTCTGGTTCGTGCTTGGCTCTGCCGATGGGAGCATTGATCTTAGCTCGAGCTGTATTCGGTGGCGTCTACGCGAGAGGACAATAAAGACTGGTGAGCATACTCTTTCTTAGATCCATACTAGCACAGGTGCTTACCGGTATTTTGATAACGACATTGGTAGCAAACAACCGCGGACTGAAGAGTGAGGCCAGCTTCAGTGTGACAGAGAGACGAGTGGTGCCTTGCTCCTGATAAGCGGGCATGATCTTGAAAGGGAGGTTGATATTCTCCGTCACACGGTACTTCATAAGCTCGAACTCTCCATCCGGAGGGATGAACGTGATGGTTCGATCGGCATCAAATTTGCCTAGACGCACACAGCGGTGGAACGTGCAATCGTCGATCTCGACTTCACGCGAGCCGCGCTTCTGACCAGCTACCTTAGCGGATGGAGCGTCTCCCTTCTGCATCGTGAGCTTATCGTTCAGTCCGAGCTTGCACTCTGGCATGCCCGTGAGCAGCGTCTTCATGACCACCTGACCTGCCACTTCGTTGCGCAGCACTGTACCGTTGGAAGACATGAGCAAGTTCACGCTCTCAAAGACATCAAGGTACACCTCGTTTCTCTTGTAGCGGATCCCTTCACGACGCCAGTCGATGGCACCTGTGATCTGCGATGTCAACTGAGAAGGTGGGGCCCCACCAGGGTTCTCAGGGGTCTACAAAAACGAATAGGAAACGACCATGGACTTAGATGCATGGTAAGAGTAAGAGGGGTATAACGGACTAGACGCACGGCGAGGGACGATCCAAGGTTGATGAACAGCTTGAGCACGTCGCTGGAGCAATTCTGAGGGTAACCGTGGTCCATGGTCTCGTCCAGCAGCTCGTACACAAGCGTGAAGTTGTCTCGGATGGTCTCTTCATTGTATTTTTTGCCGAAATATTCTTTGAAGATGATGTTGAGCTGGTAAAGAAACTGGAAGACCAAGGCGGCGTTGATGTTGGCGCGAGAGACAGCCACCAGGTACAAGTTCTCGTGGCGGGTGTACAGGAACGAGCACCCATCGATGACCTTGACAGGCGGGAGCGTACCCGTCTCTTTGGCAGCGATCACCTGCAGTCGGAAATTGTCGGCCGCGCGTCGGCTCACGTCGTCACGGTAAAAACGGTTGAGCACTACCTCACCCTTCTGGCTGATGAGGAACAGAGCACTGATCATGGCGGACGACTTGGTATACTAAATCGACGAATTAGGCGTTGAGAGTGGAGAGCTTATCTACTGCACGCTGCGCTTCCAGGACTGATGCGACTGGTCAAGAAGAGAAACCCCGTGCCAAGGATGCACACGTAACGACCGCATTGCAGCGCGTCGCTTCCCATTAAATACTCAAGTCTCGAAAGTATTTTTACATACGCTGAGAATTTTAGGAACAAACAGGAAAAAATGATTTCTAAGAAAAAAGAAAAGGACACGACTCATGTGGAAGGGAAGCTTCATATGTCTACCACCCAACACCTCAACCACTTAGATAGCCTACGCGTTTCATCTCTGCCATGCTGTTGGTTTGGTAAGCGCCGAGGAATCGGATCCAAAAACTGAGCCTCTTCAATCGCTTACAAAAAATAGTTCTTGTATGGAATAAGAGTTTTTTGTGTGTGGATCTGAGTACGCAGAGTAAACCCATTTAAAAAGAAGAATGGGTAGGATCAGATTAGAATTGCTGAAAAGTCTCCAAAATGTTTGGGTGTTCCAGAAAAAAAACGTGTTTTCCAGATTTCAGAAGCAGAAAAACAAATGCTTTTTCAGAAGCGAAAAAGAAAATTGCTTTGAAACATCAACTCTGTGCTGACACATGTACAGCTGCGCGTCATCATCAAGCCATTCGGTGGTGTTTGTTGACGCCAATTTCCGGTGGCGCTATCCAACTACGTCAGAGGGTCCTCCACCACTCTCCAATTCGCAGTCCTATACGCCACCATGACTGACAACAGCTCCAACTACAAGAAGTACCTAGACGTGTCCAATGCGCCGCCCGTGTACACATCGGCCGAGGAGCTGAACGCGTACTTCGGCCAGTTCGGCGGCTGCTTCGTGGCCGAGACGCTCATCCAGGCGCACCACAACCTCATCGACGAGTACGTCAAGGCCACACAGGACCCGGCCTTCCGCGAAGAGCTGGAGCATCTGGGCCGCGACTATATCGGCCGCCCTACGCCTCTGTACCATGCCAAGCGTCTGACGGCGCACGCCAGGGGCGCGCAGATCTGGCTCAAGCGCGAGGATCTGGCGCACACGGGCGCACACAAAATTAACAACGCGCTTGGACAGGCTGTGCTGGCCAAGCGTCTTGGTAAGACCCGCATCATCGCCGAGACTGGCGCTGGCCAGCATGGTGTAGCCACGGCCACGGCTTGCGCTCTACTGGGTCTCGATTGCGTGGTCTACATGGGCTACGTGGACACGCAGCGCCAGTCACTAAACGTCTTCCGCATGAAGATGTTGGGCGCCAAGGTTATTGCCGTCAAGAGCGGCTCCCAGACGCTTAAGGACGCCGTAAACGAAGCTATTCGCGACTGGGTAACTAATGTGGACAACACGCACTACATTATCGGCTCGGCCATCGGGCCACACCCGTTCCCGACTATTGTGCGTGATTTCCAGGCGATCATTGGCCGCGAGATTAAGGCCCAGCTACAAGAAGAGATTGGCCGTCTGCCAGATGCCATTGTGGCTTGTGTGGGTGGCGGTAGCAATGCTATCGGTATGTTCCACCCGTTTGTTAAGGACAACAAGGTGGCCATTTACGGCGTTGAGGCTGGCGGTGACGGCGTGGACACTCCTCGTCACTCGTCTACACTCCTAGGCGGCCGGCCAGGCGTGTTGCACGGTACCAAGACTTACATCATGCAGGATCCTGCTGGTCAAGTCATGGAGACCCACTCCGTGTCTGCTGGTCTGGATTACGCCGGTGTCGGCCCGGAGCACGCGTTCCTGAAGGACTCTGGCCGTGCCAAGTACGTCAGCGTGACGGACAAGGAGGCACTGGAGGCCTTTCAGCTCATCTCTCTACACGAAGGAATCATCCCGGCACTGGAGAGTGCGCACGCAGTACACTACGGCGTCCAGCTTGCCTCCACCCTGTCATCCGACCAGGTGGTCGTCATCAACGTTAGTGGCCGAGGCGATAAGGACATGCTGCAAGTGGCCAAGGAACTTGGCGTCAACCTGAACGACGATCTCACTGACAATTAGAGAGAGAGAAGAAGAGCTAAATATGATTTTCTCGGTGGGTGTTTTTTATTGTTAAAAATGTGTCGGACTTGTGTTTTATTCCCTTCCACGTGCTGCCTCTAGCGATAACGTCTGGGTGTGCTAGGCGATGCGTTGACGCCGTTCGAGTCGTCGTCGTCGAGATAGTCTGGAATGGGTTCGTATCCGTCCTTGGAGTTCTCTGCGTCGTCCGAGCTCTTGCCCCAGAGCGTGTAGAGTAAAAAGTATAACACGAAGATCTCCACGAGATGTTTAGAGGCCACAAAGAGCCACCACCACTTGGACTCGAGATACGCTCCAGCTCGATGGAAATGCGCGAGACTCACGATCGAGTAGATGAGGAAGACGCAATTGGACACGAGGAAGAAGGCGCAGATGGACGTGGCCCAGTTAACCGCCTTGATCCGGTCGGTTGTGTCGATCTGGCTGACCTCAAGGAAGGCCTGTAGTACCGTTTTCATCCTAAATGAGTACACAAGCACCGCTGCAAGTGACCCAATCGACAATAGACACATGACGACGTCGTCGTAGATCATGAGCCAGTACGAGTCTTCTTTCTTGGCTGCAAATACTATGAAGCCCAAGGCTTGGATCGCTACTATGGCGCCAAATACGAAGAAGAAGAGGCGTAGAGGATGCGAACGCACACTCTCGTGTGTGAAGAGGCGACGTAGCATGTCTGCCCAGAAGACGACGATGAGCACAAAGACGCTGTAGAGCAGGAAGGAGCCCAGCAGCTCGACTGCTTCCGCCAATAGGAACTGGACGGAGCCCTCGTCGCCCATCATGATCCGTGGTGGCTCTACCAGTACCGACTGCACACCGTAGGGCGTGGCGAACCATAATACGCGGGTGAGCGAAGCCAGTCCCATGAGTAAATAGAAGCCGAGAGTGGCGGCCTGACGCGTGGGCGATTGCGCGTGCATGGCGAAGGCCCAGAAGGCGAAGAAGCAGGCACCGCCATATGCTAGTGCTAGCACCGTATCCACTTGACGATAGCGAAACTCGAGGTGGATTAACGGCACTGATACGCATGTGACATGGTCGAAAGTCCGGCGATAGGAGATGACGGATAACAAAGCAATAAGCGTAAGAATCTAGGTGAAATAACTAGGAATAAATAGAGGAAGAGAAGATCTACAAGTTATAATGAGGGAACGCACCATGTGTGCCGTCTAGAGGCAACCCCGGCTCGCTAGTGTCCGCCATGAAGCGTGCAGTGAATGTATCTGCTTCTGAGTCCGTTCGAAAGTGGCCTGCACATCAAAATGGAGTACAAACACAAGAAATAATTTTGTGAGTTTTAGTCTAAATTTCGACTGCATTCAAAATATAGCAGACGTTTGCGTATAGCAAGGGAAAATAGAGGTCTTTAGGCTAACCCACTTTGTCGGACATATGGCTTTGCCACAAGTTCGACAGTGTGAGTTTCAACAGCTATTTTAAGAGAACCGAGAGGCTGTTCATTGCTGGTAGTCTGATTTTAGTTTGCAACAGTAAGAATTTAGCTCAAATGGGTGTGTTTCGGTTCGAGGAGAAGACCGACAAAGTGTTGATGAAGGTCCTCAAAGAAGTTAAGCCATACAGCGCCAAGTATGGTCAAACTGGCAACGCTTGGGAGCTTGTTGCCAGGCGGGTCTCGGAAGCAGAGGGCCTCACCGAGCAGCTCAACACCAAGCAAGTTCAAGACCGCATCCGCACACTCAGGGAGAACTGGAAGAAAGGAGAGCTTAAATCCGCCATCGGTAGCGGCATTCAAGAATCGCTAGACGCTGCCAATGAATTGAGTGAGTACGAAACTTTGCCAGGACTAATAAATGAATATGTGCTTCTAGAAAAAGAATATTTCGAGAAGCGAGCTGCTGTATCGGCAAAGAAAAAAGCGAAAGACGCATGCCTGGATATTTGCGCTTCAGAAATTATCGCGCAGAGCAACACACGCAGAGCTGAGCGCTCGGGGGTCAGCGATGACACGGTATTTCTTGTGTCTGGCAGCGACATGGCTTCAAACACGAATGCCTCTATATCTGCGACGTCTACTCCAGCAAAAGCAACCTCCGCATCCACAGCATCCACACCCATAACGTCTACTCCAGCAAAGAACTCTGGCAAAAAGAGAATGAACGCATTTGTAGCTGAGACTGAACGCTTAGAAAAGCGAGCTAAGGAAGCTGCCGACATGCAAAATTTGCAGTTTGAAGCAAAAATGAAGTGGCAAAAGCAGCAGCACGACGATTTAATGGCCCTACAACGGACTAAGGAGAAAGCGAGATCGGAAACGGAGAAACAGAACCGCGAGCTGATCTTGCAATGCGCAAAGCTTTTTAGCGATGCGTTGAGCAAGAAGTAAGATGCTCAAAGTGCTTCGGTATTTGACAAAGATATATTGGCCTTATATTAAATTTACTTGCAGTGCTTATCCAATCTGTGTTGTTAACAAATAATTATTTAAAAATTTTACTGCAAGTACTCTTCTAAGCTAGGTGGATTAACTCCGAAATAGTCACTTACAGTGTTTCCTCCCCTCAAACATGTAATACAGTTTGTCAGAAACACACCGACTCGATACATTTGACCGATTGGTTGTGTCCCTGTTCGAGCCTTCCGCTTGATGTCAAGAGCGGACCAATAGTTACAAACTTGGCCATAAGACCACTCCACCGATATACGTACCTTAGTCATGCTGGCGTTGACTAATTTCTCATCAGCAGTGAGAGTAGCCCCTCCAAACGGACAGCACAATACATCGTCACGTCCATAAGCATGGTCTCCAAAAATCCGATAATGTATAAATCTTTCATCGCTGCGAATCTTCTCGGAGAGCTTTGAGTGGCGATATAAAGTTATGTCGTGGTTTCTTCCGGGAAAGGGGCCATAAAGATGAGAAATTAATCCGTCAGGCGTGGTCAACGACTGGAATTTTAGGCCGTGCTTTCTGCGATGACCATTATACACCGCTTGTTGACTCATGAGAAAGCCGTCCCGATCGATGTTGCGGGGCCCTGGCCTGCAGATACCCCGGAGTGTTCCATCAATAAAACTCCACACGTTCGAAACATGTGCGCCTTTTTTGAAAACGGCCTCTGCATACTCCTCCAAATGCATGGCTGCATATTCGTGATTAAATGCGATTAACGCAGAGTACTTTGTGTCCAAGTAGCTAATCATGTACATGAAGATATTTGACAGTCCACTAGCCGATCGTCCGCCAAAAAGTGGACTCATATCCACCCAGCGCGTCGGAATTGCTAGTTTGTACAACATCACACACAAGGCTTCAATTCCAGTTGCTGCTGTTCCTTCAGTGGTGCTAACACCCTCGAGCTTAAAAGCGATAACCAAAGTAATAAGCTGGTCCTTTGAAAAGCGAAATTTCTGCATACAGTCTTCCGATGACAACGCATTGAAGTTGAACGGCACGCAGGGAGGCTTTTCAACGTCATCGGGAATGACTGACTCCAAGTACGCTCGAAGTATGGCGGCTTCATTAAAGCATCCAAGCTCAATAGCATGCTGCCAGCGCCGAAGAAGAAATGCATTTTTTTGGTGTCGTGGTACGCCTTTCGTGAGGTTCCGGGTGAAGTGAGCGAAGTCAGAATCAGACACTTGTAGGTTCATGATACTTGGAAGCGTGTAGCCCTTACTGGTTGTCAAAGACGTCGTTGGAGTAGAAAGAAGAAGTTTGCTGTGCCATTCGACTGCGTGCCATTTGACCGTCGGTGTATGATCTCTCCCGCTCAGTTTTACAGGACAGAAACCTTTATTTAGCTCTTTTACAGAAGCGTAAAATGTAATCCACAAAGCGTAATTTCCTTTCAAATTTGCGGGGATCTACGAGCTCACACGGTCGGTTTACCGTATGATTTTCAGCGTTTAGGTCTTGACAAACCGACAAAAGCAGAGTTGTGGTTTCTTCTAAAGACCTCTAATGATTCTTAATAATAGACGGACTCTGGCAGGCATTAGCAAAATGATATCCATTTTGACAGTCTTAACGGTACAACGCCTTTGTATTGGTCTCATCTGTAAACGGAAGACGCGTATTGATCACCATTGTTTTTTGTCATAACATTTTGCTAAGAATATATAAAGAAGTACTCCGACTGTACTGGTAATAAAGCCCGACATTCTCTAGGAAACGTCGAAAGCTTCTCCGACGAGAGTCAATCGCCCAGCAGGCGTTGTGGCTGCGAGCTGAAAAGCTATTTAGTTTCACATGCAGTGGATCCGGCATTGTTAAATACCTTCGTTGTCAACTGTAAAGCCCTAGTCTATATCATTGTGATCGCTACAGTGTATCATGGTTAGTACGACACCCATCGGTTGTCTACGTGTATACCTCCGAGACAATGCCTGGAGATGTAGATAGATGGATTGAAGCTAGACATGAACGGACAGGATGAGCAGTATGATGGCTTAGGCCCATTATCAACCGGCCGCACCGCACCGCATTGCACAATTTTGCTCCGTGCGGTCGCGTCGGTCAAGAGCGGTTATGCAGCGCATAAAATACATCTTACGCAGCTGGTTTATAATGTATCTTGTCATTTGTGAGAAATATCTCTTGAGGAGACGACCTCAAAGCTCGTGGATTGGAGGCATCTTGGGGTACGTAAGGATAAAGAAGAGAGTTGTACGGTCGTCCAGACCAACTAACACCGGATACAAAGCAATAATATGCAGACACCAGGAGGTGATGCAACTGGAAATGCACTAACGCCCCATATCCCACCGGAAAGATACATGAATTTGAGTCCTGTACCAACAATGCCTGCCCTAGCACCAAGCCATCCCCAAATATAGCTACACGTTGCAACAGCAACAAGAAAGCCCTATCCGGTTAGAAAAGATAGCAGATAGATTGCTAGAAGGGGTGGATAGCTCAGATGACAGCGGCATAGTGGATTCGCGATTTGCTCTGGTGAATTATGAGAGATGGTCAGCGAATGCGATTCGGAAAGAGTGTCCTTAAGCTAAAGGCTGGTTGCGGGAGGGTGAGCGTATTTCAATATTTTTGCATCATGACGCTATGAAGCAGGCATACGACGGCCTTCTATTAGGGGATGGCGGGCAACCAACAGGCAAGAATGCAGTGTCAGCCCGTACAAAGCATTGTAGGTACAGGCTGATACATATTCTTTTCTCGGATGAGTTCGCCACGCGATTCAGTCAATCAGGGTTGTTATACTAGATTTTATTGATCTAGTTGAATGGCACAAGATCTCCAATTCATTCTGCTCAATACAAAAATTATGCAAACGCATATATCAATGGATGACGTGAGGCGCATTCCGTAGCGACATACATATTATCCCGGCCACCAAACCTTGGACAAACTTTGGTCCAAAAAAGGTAACCCTTCCCTTCACAAAACCCATAACGATAGTTAGATATAAGGGGTAAAATCGGGCGTAGATTCCGATTTTGAGGTCTATTTTTGCGTATCTGCAACCATTAGGCCACAGGCTAAAAAAGTGAATTTTTCGTCAGTTATGTGCATGTACCTTATATAGCAGTATTTGCTCACGATACAACGCTATCTGGCGCAAACAATACAGTTTCAAATTTAAAACGCCTTAATAATTCTAAGCTGCGATATTTTCGCATATAGCTCAATCACTTTTAATATAACTAGGCTGCAGCTGTAATATTCAAGTATACATAACAGCGTGGTATCATTGGCAAAAATATGTATCTGAAGCTAGTGCGACATCGTATTATCTATAATATATCTGGTTTTCGCGAAATCCTGGCCATTTAATTTGGAAAAAAGTCAAAGCACAGAGAGGAAGCTCAGATTCACTTGTCAATTACCAAGATGCCCAGTACAGCCAGCCAAGTGTTCGACCGCCTCAACCGACAGTGGGAGGACGAGACCTCCAACCTCATTGGCAAGTTGGAAAGTGAGGAAGATGAAGTGTCTCGCTGCTGTATTTGCACTTGTAGAGTACCTGATATTGTACTGGCGAGATGAAATGCAACACCAAACATTGCCCCTTCACAACTTCTCACCCAATTACCCAATTTATATGAGCTTTTTTTTGTTGGAAAGATAATGATTTCTTCTCTTAAGTAGTCATAATCATCCTTGAATATCTGCTCAAATTCACATGCTACACTTAATCGAAAAGTGCGTGTCTTTCGTTCCGCCCAAAAAATCGAGGCTATGTTCTTGACATACGGAATCAGATGTTTTGGTCCTTACAAAC